AAATACTCATCAATCACCTGCATCATTGCCCACCCACCCGCATTTATACTGATTAAGCCGAGGAAATTAAAAAGCACGCACTAGTTATTAGCGTTTAGGCATGCTAGTGCCTGGTTAGCTGCACTTGTCAATTCATGCAGTTGAAACATCACATCTTGTAGCTCCACTTTTATCCGTAATCGTGTTTTGATTTGTATCAACTAACTCAACTTAACCCAAGGTTGGTGAAACTCATAAATAAGTATAGGTTTACAGGTTAAGACTAAAGTTTTAATTTTAAGATTAATATTTAAAAATTAAATTTTTTTAAATTTATCACATTAGTAGTCCAACACAAAGTGGCCTAGTGGCCATTCCCCTTGTAGGGAGGTGTTAGGACATGAAGTCCTGGGTTCTATACCCAGGCACTACTAATCCCCATCCCCCAAAATTCCTTAAGTTCAAAAAAAAAAAAAATAATAATTTATCACATTAGTATAAGGTCTTTAAAATTGTTAAAAAATTAATTTAAAAATACTTTAATTATAAATAAAAAAAAATTCAACAATCAACTCAAATACTTTACTTGCATTATTTCTTTCATACCTAAAAATTATCTGATTCCATCCTTCGTAACCAAATTATCTACGTATACTGTTGCTTATCAAACTTCCATCCATACCTCCCTGCACGTTTTTCTCGTGAATTAAGTCTATTGGAGAAAAGATTAACAAATTTGGGTTATTCAACATGCAATGAAGTGGGTTTAAAGATAAGGAGAGAATTGTTAAGAAAAAGTATAAAAAAATTAGTATCATGTAGTTTATAAATTTTAAAAAATATTTTATAATCGGAATGATAAAACATAAATTCTTATATAAGAGATAAATTTTTTGATATTAGGAGTCATTCTTTGTTAAAAATTTTTATTTTACAATTTAATATAGTTTATACTATAAATTAACAAAATTTTATAAATTAACAAAATAAAAATATATTGTGTAATTTAAATTACTCTAAACTATATAATACTTATTATTTAATAGATATTAAGCTTCAGATGTGGACATGGACAATGATCTTTATTTTATTATAATTTGATACAATTAAAACTAGGAAATAAGAAATTCTTAATAAAATAAATAAACAAAACACTTCTTAAACAATCCGATATTGACTAATTTCAAACAAAATTTTTTAAGATCTCACATCTCATAATTTATTACCCAAAAAATATTGCATATTTTATTATTAAAATATTAATAATGTAGCATCCAAAAAAGAAATGGTTATGACCACTTAATAAATTACTACAAACATACAAAATTTTCTAAATATTTAGTTATTGTATTTAAAAAAATTAATATGTAGACTAATTTTAATTTATTAAATAATAAATAGTATTAATTATTTTGTTAGTTATTAACTAACAATTCTAGTTATTAGTTGTTCCTAATTGTTAAATTAAATAAAATCAATATTTTAAAAAATAAAATTTAAAAATTTATATAATTTTAATAATTTATTATATTAGTATAACTATTTGCATCTAGAGATGATTATATAAGGAAACTAGAGCACCCTTCCATGATAGCAATTACAGCTTAGCTACTTCACGATTTCAAATATTTTGGCGATGGCATTACCAAGTTCCTCCAGCTTACTCTCAACCGATGTCAGAAGGTAACTTTTAAGACTTCCCTGTAGAAATTGTTGGACGAGGGAGCAATCCATTGTTTAATAATTAAACTTATAAAATTTGATATATAATTCATACTGTACAAGACTTATTTAAACTTTTAAATACCAATAAGTTTATGACATTTAAAAAAAAAATTAAGCAAAATATGTTTAGAGGTATTAATATTGATGGCTATGTTTTCAGGTTGGAAGGGAAGATTGCCATCATCACTGGCGGTGCTAGCGGCATCGGTGCGTGCACTGCTAGAATCTTCTGCAAACATGGAGCGAAAGTGCTGATAGCTGACATTCAAGACGATTTAGCCAAATCCGTCTGTGATTTGGGACCTGAATCTGCTTTCTTCGTTCATTGTGATGTCACAAAGGAAGAAGAGGTCAAAAATGCCGTAGATACTGCCATCTCTCACTTTGGAAAGCTCGATATTATGTTCAACAATGCCGGTATCGTTGGACCTATTCTCAAACCCAACATTCTAGATAGCAGTATCTCGGAATTCCAACAGGTCCTCCATTTTTAATTGTCTCAATAGTACTCATCTGTTTTATTTTAGTTGTCTTATATTTTCACTTTACACATACTTAAATAATTTAGAGATGGGTTAAATTCTATAATTAAGTGTTAAAATAATAAATTTATTCCTTATAAAATTAAGTTTATCATTTATATAAATAAAGTAATAAAGATAAAGTTAAAATAATAATGTTTAATATATCATATAAATAAAAGTGTGATAATTAAATTGAAAACTTAAATTTATTCAATTTAATAAGTGAGACAACAAAATTAAAATAGTGACTACTACTGAATTGCTTGAATTGTTGACCTTAATTGTAATTTTTTATAAGAAAATTAATATTTCTTAGGTATTTTTGTTAATGCATGAAAAAATTTCTAACAGGTTCTTAATGTGAACCTTGTGGGAGCTTTCTTGGGGACAAAGCATGCAGCACGGGTGATGATTCCCACTGGTCGAGGTAGCATAATCAACACCGCTAGCATCGCTTCAACATTTGGTGGAGCTGCGTCACATGCTTACACAAGTTCAAAACATGGTATGCTTGGGTTGATGAGGAATGCTGCGGTGGAGCTGGGACAATATGGCATCCGAGTGAATTGCGTGTCGCCATATATGGTGGTTTATGAAGAGATAACAAGGAATATGTTGAAGCTGCCTGGAGTTGCAAATCTTAAAGGAGAGATTCTAGAGCCAGAGGATGTGGCGGCTGCAGCACTTTTCCTGGCAAGCGATGAGTCCAAATATGTTAGTGGACACAATATGATCCTTGATGGAGGTTTTACTGTTACAAATTCAGGTTTTTCCATTTTTAATTTGAACCTAGACTCTACATTCGACAAATAATCTCCCGAAGTCAAAAGATAATCTGAACGTTATCAGGTAAATCTAAATAAGTGGTTTTTCTCTTTCTTCAAGAGCTGGCCAATATGTCTGTTGTTTGTTTTTTCAATTATGGTTTTGCTGGGATCTGGTGCGCTAGTGTTGGCACCTCCGTCTTGTAACCATGGTTGAGTCCTCCGTCTTGTAACCAAGGTT